TATTATCTTGACTCCATTAATTTATACATAAATAGGCCTGCTAACCTAACTTGCGGTGTAGAGTACGCAGAAGCGGTTTTTATTCTTTCATACCCAAAACATGGGAATCCTGTTGAGATCCACGAGGTTAATCTGTGCAAATCTCAATTCCATATCCAAATTCTCCTCAAATCCGTTGGTTTATCGTCGAGAGAGATATACTCCGAGGAGGATGATGAGCTATTTGACCGGGCACGACCAACCCCAGAGGTTTGTGATGGCGCGTGTAGACGACGATTCAATTTATTATCATCAATTCTTGACCGACGACAACCTCTCCTGGGAGCACAGCGATCTCCACGTTAAACGCCGGTACAAATATTTTCTTCCTTATGCCAGTTGCAACGCGTTGGTACTGGCGGCTACAGATCCCGGCCGTCGGAAGGTGGCTCTCTGGAACCCTACCACCGGTGAGATCAAAGCCCTTCCTAAACCCATCATCAGTGTTCCCTTCAGACCTTCCGTCGCGAGGGCCAAAGTTTTGGCCCATGGCTTCGGGTTCGATCCCGCGACTCAGGACTACAAGGTGATAAGGTTTCTTTACTTGAGAATTGAAGGATGTGGTTTGATATCTGATGGCCTCGAAATTCATCTCTACTCGCTCAAAACTCATTCCTGGAAGGAAATCAGAGCTTCTGTGGACGATCCAGCTCCCGATTTCAGTATTCACATAAACGGCGTTTGCTATTGGTTCAACGGTGATATTGATATCATGTCCTTCAACTTTGCTAATGAGGAATTTGGGCAAATTCCGATGCCCCCAACTGATTCGATCGACACTCCCCTGTGTAATTTTTGTTTTGCCCGAATCGATGACTCCTTTGCAGTTGTTCTTTACGACTGTCCTGAGGATTTGACCAACCTCCCTCGCTCTAGAAAGTTTGAAATCTGGAAATGGGATAATGATGACGTGTCGTGGGCCCGAGTGCCTGTCGAAACTGATGCCGTGCCTGCTGCTGCTGATGCTCAGCAGCTAGTGGCTCTTGTGAATGGGAATAAGCTGTTTGTTAGGGATTCGCAGGGTGAAATACTTACTTTTGACATTGACACAAGGGAGTTGAAGCATCTCCATTTGCGTTCTAATGAATATGAAGTTTTTGTTCTTCCTTATGTTGAGAGCTCATTTCCAATCAAAGCCAGCAAAGTTAAAAAGGGCAGGCAGCGGCAAAGTTAAAAAGGGCAGGCAGCTCATTCCTTAGTGTTTGCGTTGTGCCATTTTTATGAATTGTTTTTGGTGTCAATGCAGTTATGTGTTTGTTCCTTGTCTGATGTCTCTGTTGCGGAATGTTCCACCCTTGCGATTTGAAACCTAGCGCACAAGCAACATAAAATAAGACACCGCCAAGAAAGAATGTCAGTTTTTTTTGTTCTGTTTAGAATTTTGTTTTCTCTCCTCATATCCATACACTGTAGGTATGCTATTATACTAGTGTTGATGAGAACTAACAATACAAGTAACTATTTAATTCATACAAATGGATATTTATTTATGCATCACTATTTACTTATATAACAAATTATTCCTTTTTCGTGATGTGTCCACAAAATTAATATTTACAATTCTTTTTTATTTACATTTACGGCCCTTGAAATATCGTTATAACTGGTCATGAGTAAATACGGGGTTCTTTAGATTTAAGTCAAGTATGCGAAAGATATTGTCCTTGATTCTTATTAATCGTCATGGCATACATAGCCATCAAAGTAAATATCGCCTTTTGGAACTTGAGATGTATACATGATTTGATGTAGGCTCATTCTACCTATAATAATAACAAGTGTGAACTAGTTAATATTGTCCACTACATGTACATGACTATAGAGCCTCGTTATAACTAAATGCAATTCGTTGCACAAACCAATCGAGTGGTAAATGTTACTCAGTAATGATAATCTCACTTTCAATGCAATTTGTGATTTGTGACATGGTAACATTTAATGTTGTTGAAGATTAATTGGTACCCAAAAAAATAAAATAATGCATGCATTGTTAATTATTTGTAAACGCTTGATAAGTGATACCAAATCTAAAATTTACTTTTCTTTGTTTATGAATCATTTAAAGCATAACCGAAAAAGCGACTGCCTGCAAGTCTCATCATCAAAAGCTGAAATAAGAAGTCTTGTCATCAAAAGTCAAATTTTTTCATGACAACACGTGTTAATCATCTAGCCCATAAAATGGCACACGACCATCATTATATTTTCGCTTTATTCATGTATAAAGGAGGTTGATACCTCAAAAACATTCTATGAAAAAACTACTCTAAAATATACATGTACTCACAATTCCTCGTTTGTTCCTTTGTGCCCATCTCACGTGCTATTGACCATCTCCTCCATTACCTATGATAAACCATTTCGTATCACCTGATTGCGTTCAACAAATTTTTAATAATATCGTTTTATTTTACAATTGTCTTTAGGTTAAATGTTGTTTATACCAAATCGTTAATTTTATTAGATTGTTGAAAAATAGTATTTTAAGTTCTTTTGGATGGTTGACAGTTTTTAAAATGTTTCTAAATCCTGCATTTGAAAAACAAATAAATTATTTTAGTTAATTCTAGCTTCTACTTAATAAATCATATTTCTGTAATTATTTTATCAAAAGTGCGTAGCGATGAAATATTAGTTGATATCGAATTACATTTAAAAAACCATTCATTTGATATACATAAAATTAAATATTATGTTTATTTAAGTACAATTTTATGCATATTAGCACCTTTATAAAATTTGGTAAATAACTGCCTGTACGTAACTCGTTTAATTCGAAGTTCGCTACGGGTTTAACGTCCTAAATGGTTCTAAACTCTTACAGAATGATTGTTTATATATTTTTTTGGATTGATTTTTTTGGTCAACCGTAGTTACTTTTTTGACCTAAATGGTTGACTTAGGTTTGAGTGGAATTTTAAATTCGTATTAAAATATTAATTGAAATAAAATAATTAAAGTTGATTTGATATAAAAGTATGAGATAGTGGCTGGAAGTATTGAATAGGTAAAATTATGTAAGGTGATGAATAATGACTTAAGGTTAATGTGATATGTGATGTGTACGGATGACTGATTGATATTCAATTATATTAATAATATTGAGGATATTGAGTTTTAATTAAATTTAAGTTGAGATTGATTTTTTCTTTTTTATTTTTATAAAAAAATCTTAAAAACAAGCATGCCCTTAGTATTTATTTTTTCTATTTAAAAGTATTAAGTTTGATATCTATAATACAAGGTACAATGTTTTGAAATTGATAAATTTGATCGATACATGAAAAATTTCCCGTATTTGAGACCACTCACGTACTTTCAACGGGCACAGTTGTATATGTGCCCATTGGGCTTAAGTATGCGAATTAACATAAAAGGAGGCCGTGAGAGATAATTAAAGATTTGGAAATTAGTTCATTCTTTCTCTGCACGCAAACATGGCGCTCCGAACACTCGCCGCCGCCGCCGTTCCCAGATTAAAGCCCCGTACAACCCCACCGCTCACAGACATGAGCCGGATTTTACATCGCGATCCTTCATCCGGCGTCCGTCGTTTCGGCACTCCGTCGCAACTCGCACGGCCCGGCGGCCCTCGGCCGCAATCTGGAGCAGAACAACATCAACAGCAACAACGCCGCCGCCGACGACAAGCTCATGCTTTTGGTGGGGCAGGGTAACAAAAATCTATCCTTATTCTCAATTGAAAACAACTCTCTCCAACTGGTTAGACCCAATCGCCCAAATTTCTCTCAGCTTAGCAGCGTCTCCTATGAATTTCTCGCCGGCTGCGACAAATGGGTGGTGTTGGGGTCCGAGGATAAAGGTATTAAAACTCCGGTCGAGTTCCTGTGGGACCCCACGACCGACGAGGTGAGGCCCGTTCTTCAATTTCCTCGCCTGCCCTTAGATAACTCTTATTATACCTTTTTTTGGGGCGTTGGGTTTGACTCCAGCTCAGGGGACTATAAGGTGGTCAGATGTTCCGATCTTGAATATGGCAATAACGAGCTCGGTGAGGTGAGGTGAGAGGGGAGCTGCTGTCGATCGGCACAGGTTCGTGGAGAGAAATTCGGTTCCCCCACCATTACGAAGACCCGACTTTCTATTACGATCACTACATTCACATAAACGGCTTTTACTATTGGCCCGCCACGTTATTATTAAGTGAGATCACTAACGTTATTGTTCCGTTCGATTTCCGCCGCGAAGAGTTCGCGGCTGATTTCATTCCCATGCCGGACATCGGTATATGCAGGTCGTACCCGATTTTGGTTCTTGCAGAGTATCACGGTTCGCTTGCCGTTATTTTTCAGGATTATAACAACTTTGCTGAAGATTCTTACTGGTTGCAGATTTGGGTGTGGAGCAATGGGGACCGAGCTGGTCTCACTTGTCAACATTCCATATTCCGGCAGATGTTGATGTTAAAGAGGTTTTGTCCTCTACAATAATGACAAAGTGATTCTCGTCGATTCTCAGGGTGCGCTTCTGCTTTATGATTGTGTGACAGCCGAGTCGAAGAGCTTCGGTTATGTCGGTTTTGGGGTTTACCCTCATTATTCCAAGAGCAAGAGAAATCGGAGCTCATAGGAAGCGGAAGTATGAGTCTGATTGAACTCAGTGTGCCCAACGATGGACTAAGTGGTTCATCATCTTCAAAAAACTGATTTAAGTCGAGCTCGATAACAGGGTATCCAATTTTCTGACAGTCGTCGATATGTAGCTCGATTATAATATTCTCTGAAGATCTTGGTACTGCATCTTCTACCTCGTAAGGAGGTTTGTTCCAATCGATTGGAATATTTAAAGTCATTGCAAATCTTTATTCATAATGTGTGATTCAATTAAATTATCCATATGCATATTTATACCTCCTTGTGAATTTTGGCTCCTTATTGAAAATTTTGAAATGCTGGATGTGGATTTTCATTTTACCTCGTTGAAATTTTAGCTCCAAATCTGTAAGGTGCTGAAAAATTGGAGTTACAGACAATTTGAGGAGGAAATACATAGAAGACAATGAGTTATTCACTTTGAACTTTTTTTTTTCTTTTCTTTGTGTTTGGTCCACGGCAAGCCTTTTTCTCTTTTGAATCATACTCCACTTTTCACTAATGGTCTATGTTATTAATTTTAATTAATGAGGGTTATTATTGACAAAAAATAACCCTTAGTCACTGTGCACAAATCCAAAACGAGAATTAATGTGAATATGAGGGACTATGTACAGAAATTCTGTGGAGTCATCAGATGGCTCTCGTATGGAGCCACTCATAACTTTATGTATTGATACATGTCCAATTTGTATTTATTGCAGGACACATGTCAATACACCATTTGTGGCTAACTATGGATAACTCCATAAACTGAGCCATTCTATGGCTCCATAGCAAAACCGGTAATATATCAAATTAATCATCTCTTGATTAGGTTGGATTTGACATCTATATTGTATATATAGAATAAATAAATAATCATATTTACTTTTATAAATAACAATTAAATTATCTCTTAATGCTAATTAGAACAAAATAAAATTATTTATCAATTAAATAAATTTAACTACATAGTAGTTATATGATATAATTTAAGAAAATATCATTATATAAAATAATCAATTATATATGTGACGGTTATCATTTTAAATAGAAATAATTATACATTTTTTACAAAAATATTTAAAATTTAAAGTATATTTTTATATTACTTTTTAAATTTAAGTATAAGTTTCTCAACAAGCACTACACTAGTAGTTTGAGTTTTTTAGGGCATGCTTGTTTATGAAATAATTTGCTCAAATGAGGTTTTTTTTATTAATCAGAGTTAAATTTGAAAAAGATGGTATAATTAGTTGTTAGTGAAATTTTAATAATGTATTAAAATAATATTTAAAATAAAATTATTATTATTGATTTGATGTAAAAGTAAGATATAAATGATTGATAATGATAAGTAGTTAAAATTATGTGAGTTGATGAATAATGAATTAAAGTTGATGTGATATGTAAGAATGATTGGTTTATATTATTTAATTATATAAATAATACTAGTACAACACCCATGTATTACATGGGTGGGAACGGTGCCTCATCTCGGACCGTTCATGGACGGATTCATAAAAGTGGGATGAGTATCCAGACAAATCAAATCCAGGACCGTCCCGGACCGCGCCCACCCCTACCATAAATAATTAACATATTTATAGATAATCCGAACCTAAATATTTTTGGATTAGAAGTAAATTATATCTATCCAAGCCTAATAACGAAACATGTAATTTTGCCACATAGGATTTTGAAGCATGTGAACTTGCCACATAGGCTCAGCACGTTCTCAATTAATATATAAAGGGGATTATTAAGGATAGTGGGGTGGAGTTAAAATTGAGTTAGATTTTGAGAATGAAATAAATGTGAACAAATTATTTCATAAATAAACAAGCATGTCCTTAGTATGAATTAAATTAAATGGTAAATATAGTGACTCGAAAATTTTCCCCATTTTCTCAATGGGCACATTTTCGGCTTTTAATATGCGAATTAACACATACAGATGAGATAATTCAAGATTCGAAAACGCATTCTTCCTCTGCACGCAAGCATGGCGCTCCGAATATCGGATTAAAGCCCTGTACAAGCCCACCGCTCATGGCCATGAGCCGGGTTTTACATCTCGATCCTTCTTCCGACGTCCGTCGTTTTGGCACTCCGGCTCACGCCCCGGCGGCACTTGGCCGCAATCTGGAGCATACCTGTATCAACATCAACTCTGCCGCCGACGACAATCTCATGCTTTTTTTTTTTTAACAACACCCTAGTAGGGTGGGGGGTTAAGACCGAACCCCCAACCTGTATATATAAATGTCCTAAGTGGGCTGAGAAGTCACAATACTACAAATCGAATGTCTGATATACATCCAGTCAAACGATAAAATAGAAAAAACCAACAAAGAAAAGAAAATATGAGAATAGCAGATCATGTTCCGGGAGGGGGTTCCGACTAGCAAGTCATCATCATAGTGTGACGGGTGCGCCAAAAGGTAGGTCTGGCTACATAAATCTGAATGAAAGGTATCCCATCTGGTCCATCCGTATGAGGGTGCGGAGGCGTATAGAAATATCGTCAGGGTAAAGAATGCGTCTGTGGGGGGTGGAGGACCTGATGCCAGCAAGGAAATCAGCTGGTCGGTTCTCCTCGCGGAAGATGTGCGAGATTCGGGAGCGAATCGACTGGAAAGTGGCTCTGATGCACATGAAAGGATGCTGGATCTGCCACGTGCTCTGATGTCCAGATGACAGCGGCCGCATCCAACTCTGATCATGGCTCAACTCGATCAACTCGCCACTTACTCTGCAGTACTAAACTGCACACGAACTTCGCAATACAAAACTGCAAAACTACAAGAAGCTTGACACAACAACTCGTACCTCAACCAACGCCAGACCTCGCTCGCCTGGCTCTGATACCACTTGTTGAAAATAAATAGACCAATATACTCAAGATTAACAAAACAAATTAACATTATTATTACAAATATGTATTACTCACGCACTCATACTACACAAGCACACACCTCTCTTGGTTTTTATTTTGCTCACTAAACACAAATTAATTTCATTCTCCAATTACTATCACCACTCAAAGCTCACTCATTGGAGACACACACCCCCCATTACAACTTTGATGCCTATTTATAGTACCATAAAGTCGGTGACCTTAACCGACATAAGAGTTTGCTTAACAAGTCTAGACCTACCATGCCACTTCTAATTTATTTAATATTCTAAGTTTTCAAATTATCTATGGAACTCCAATTTCTTGGTCTATCTAGAAGCTTCATTGTAAATAAGGTGTTGAATTTAACACTATCAATTATACGGTGGACCAATCACAACTATGAAAAAAAATGTTTAATTATACTGTTAAATGTCTTACTTAAATGTCTTGTTCTGTCATAAGCTTGTTTATGCTGTTTTTTAAAATGACATTTTCTAATGAAAGGTGTACATATATATAAAAAGAGTATGTCGTCCTAATAGTTAAGTTGACTTAATACAAGATCCATCGATTGTCGGTATAATGGTTAAGCTGACCTTATACAAGATCTTCAAATGCGGTGATGAGGGCATAGTTTTTTATTCTTATATCACACGTGCACACACACCTGTATAAGTGTGTATCAATCGAACAATAAAAAAATCCAATGCCAAACTTCCCGAAACATTTTACACAAAATATATCAAGTTATATGACAACTAACAAGAGACGATAAAGCAAAAACATATTTATAATGAGAAACCTATGTAACGATTTTTATCGTATTTTGATTTTTCTACTTCTTTTTTTTGAATTGAAAACTAAAAAATAAGAATGCGGAATCGCAAATCCTAAACGAAACAGAAAATAAATAAAGAAAGAAAGAAATAGTAAAAATTATAATAAGGTAAAAACGAGCTTCGAAAGTTGGGGTCAAAACCACTATTTAATCCATCGCTAGGTGCAATGAGTTGAATTAAAATCGCAGTTCCGCTTCCTACGAGCTCCGATTTCTCTTGCACTTAGAATAATGAGAGTTCTGCATAACCGTCATTCTTATAATCATCGATTACTACTTAAAAGTTATAAAATTTATTATTTTTTAATTATGTAAAATGTATCTTAATATAGTTATAGTTTGAAAAAAATAATAATGTAACGTAATTATATCTATTTATTTATTTTGAAATCGATAAATGATAAATATAGTGACTAAAATTTAAAATTGTCCCCATTTTGAGCCTACTTCACAAACTCTATGGGAATGTGCCCATTCGACTTTTAATATGGGAATTAACAGATAAGGATGAGATAATTGAGGATTTGAAAACTCATTCTTCCTCTGCACGCCAACATGGCGCTCCTAACAATGGCCGCCGCCACCGCCGCTACCAGATTAAAGCCCCGTACAAGCCCACCGCTGCTCGCGGCCATGAGCCGGATTTTACATCTCGATCCTTCTTCCGGCGTCCGTCGTTTCGGCACTCCGTCGCACGGCCGCAATCTGGAGCAGAACAACGTCAACAGCAACGGCGCCCCCGACGACGACAATCTGATGCTTGAGGTGAAGTGGGGTAAGAACAATCTATCCTTACTCTCAATTGAAAACAACTCGCTCCAACTATTTCAACCAAGTCGCCCCAATTTATCTCGGCCTAATAGCAGCGCCGTCTATGAATTTCTCGCCGGCTGCGACAAATGGGTGGTGTTGGGGTCCGAGGATAAAGATATTACAACTCCGGCCGACCTCCTGTGGGACCTCAAGACCGACGAGGTCAGGCCCATTCCTCGATTTCAGATGAAACCTCACCTGCCCATAGCTGACACTTGGTATACCTATTGTGGCGTGGGGTTTGACTCTGGGTCAGGGGACTATAAGGTGCTCAGATGTTTCATTCGTGAATATGTGGGTAACGAGCCCAGTGAGGTCAGAGGGGAGCTGCTGTCGATTGGCACCGGTTCTTGGAGGGAAATCCGGCTCCCCCGCAATCACGAAGACCTGAGTATCTGTTCCAGTTACTGCAATCACATAAACGGCTTTTACTATTGGCACGCGTTATTACTATCTGAATGCCCTGCCTGTGATGTTATTGTTCCATTTGATTTCCGCCGCGAAGAGTTCTCGGCTGATTTAATTCCCATGCCGGACCTTTGCTGGTGCTCGGAAATTGTTCTTGCAGAGTATCATGGGTCGCTCGCCGTTATCTTTCATACTGAGGTGAATGATCGGCCTCACGTGCCTTTCAGGTTTGAGATTTGGGTTTGGAGCGAGAGGGGCAGAACATGGTCTCGCTTGTCCACGGTCAATGTCCCGGCGAATGCTGGTGTTACGGAGGTTGTGGGCATCTACAAGAGCGAGAAAGTGATTCTCGTCGACTCTCAGGGTGCGTTTCTGCTTTACGATTGTGGGACAACCGAGTTGGAGAATTTCGATGTACTTAGTGATTATAAGGATGCCGGTTTTGTGGTTTCCCCCCATTGGTTTCAGGTTTCCCCCCATTATTCTAAGAGCAAGCGAACTTGAGCTTATAGAAAGAGGAAGTACGATCTTGATTGAACTCATTGTGCCCAACGGTGGACCATAGTGGTTCTTCTGACCTTAAATTCCAACGTTTGCAGCTAGT